TCAGACCATTTACATGCACAAAAACCTATATAGCACACTACAGGAAAGGGAACACCTGAAAAAGCACAATAGGGCCCCTTTAATAAAAGACAAACTCTTATGTTTGATTGCTTATGGCTGTGCCAATAATGTTTATGTGGATTCTATATAATAATTAAAAAAAAGACTTCTCTTGTCTCAACATCAGTAATGTAACATGCAAGACAATCCCTCCTTCAAACTCACACACAGATCTCTGCTGCTCTGTTCATGAACTATAATGTGGTAACTAAAAGTTGTTACTGACTTCTATGTTACTAGGGGCATGTGTCACATTACAATCCTGCTCTAAAGACACTGAATACAAAAATAAACCACTTTCCAAGTTCTTATACTAAATCCCTGCAATATCCATTGTAAAGGTCGATATCTTTTTCATATATTCAAATCCAGCTTTTTTTTAATTTTCATTTCTTTTTCTTGGCTGTTTCATGTAGTTTTATTTCACTCAACCAAAGAATGTTCTACTTGCATTCCTTCCTTATAAAGGTCCAATACCAATTCCCTGCACACTTGCTGGGGGCCATTGAACTTCTAGACCCTTACAGTGCATAACCTGAACTCACCACTAATATGTGTTTATGTATAGAGGAACAGATGATAAACATAGATCTAGGTAAATGAGTTGCTTGAGAAACAAAATGTTGTTTGGAAGCAGCATTACCTTGTTCCAGTCTGAACAGGGACCTCTCTAAATTCTCCTTTTCATTGAGCATTAGGACTCGAATCTGCTTCAGGTGTTGAGGCAACATATTCAGAAGATCTCCCAAGTTAAACAAACCCTGGCCACCTGTAAGAGAGCAAAACAAAGGTTACTGTAGTTATAAACATTCACTTCCATGAAGCACTTTTTCAGATCTCAGATGCTGAGATATTTTTTTCTCTTGTTTTCAGTGGGTTTTCACACATTCATTCAAAAAAGTGTAGTTTTTTCTGGTGCCAGTAACTCTAGTACAATATTTTGTTATGGTTAAAACAAGTTGGGGTTAAATGCTCATTTAAAATAACATATTCATTTTTGAAGTTAGGGCAATAGTTTCAGACAAGACAGACAAATGCTCGGGCGGTCTTCTTCACTGCTTTTGGTGTATTCTGTGGCCAAAGTACAGCGCCACTTACAGGCCCGGCATATATACTACAGCGTCTCCAGCGGGTCGAGCGGTCTCGTGTGGATGGACACGTTTATTGAGCCGATTCCGTGATGACGGAAGACTTTTTTGATATCGACCTCTGTTCGTTATCGTCTCCGTGTGGCCGGGGCCTTAATCGCTTTGTGGTAAAGCTGCTGCGGTTGTATTTACCAAAAGGTGGAGCAAAACACAAAGCTACAAACTTACTCAGGGTGTTAATGGAAGAGTTTCAAATCAGACAGAGGTGGAAGAAGTACTCAGATCTTGTGAAGGAATACTCTGTACAAGTCAAATTAGAAAAGTATTAGTTCTATAGTTAAAGTACCAAAAGTAGTCACTCTGCAGATTGGTCCATTTCAGAAATAGTATACAGTATATGAATACCTATCCCCTGTGTGCCTTGGCAGATCATGAAAGTGTTCTCAAAGCTGGTAAAGGTGCAGCTAGTTTGAATGACTTTGTATACTGCAGGGTAGCTTGTGAATTTACTCCAGGTGGAACTAAAGTCTGATTTAACACTTGATTATATTTCACATCATTCATCCACATCTGTAAAGTAACTCAAAGGTATTAAATACATGTAGTGGAGCAAAAGTACACCATGTACCTCTGAACTGTAGTGGAGGAGAAGTCAAATGTAGCATAACATGAAAATACTCAAGTTCGTCTTCACCCTGCCTAAGTTAGATCTAAGTCTGCTCCCTTAACCGAATCAGCTTCAGGACACTGGCACTGGCCTGCTGTGCTGGGATGAATTAGGCCCTTCCTACATCCAGGACATGATTAAACCATACACTCCAGCATGTGTACTTCGCTCTGCATCAGCCAATCGTCAAAATGAATTGGACTGATCGAGGTGCACATACTGTACTTACATATTGTAGCCCATTTACACTACCTCACACTTACTGTATTAGAAACTACTGTACACAATATTTGTATGTATTTAGTACACTGTGCTTAAGTATTTATTGTACATTGAATGTCAAAATGCTGCTGTGACGAAACAATTTCCCAATTTCGGATTAATTAAGGATATATCTATCTATCTAAGCCCTTACAAATAAAACACCCATGCTTTCTACCATGGCCTCAAAATGGTGAAACATCTCACCATTGATATCATGACTGCATAAAATCCACACACAACTGCACCTTAGCTAATAAAGCTATTTTTAAAAAGTTGCTGCACTTCATTGATACCTATGGTCTTTGTAGCTAGTCAGCTAATCGAAAGACACCACCTTGTTTTTGATTGATATTTTCCATTGAATTAGCCGGCCATCCAGGTTAATACTTTGATAACTGCTGTTCTTTAATTTGATGCAGAGGCATAGCTTATATATTTTTCATTATGTGGAGCATAACCAGGAACTTTAGAGAGACAAATATGCTAGTGACAAATTGTAAATGCCTAAAGAAAAGCAATGAAGTCTGAAGTAATAATCAGTAAGCTGCAACAAAAGTGTGTCACACTGGTACGCAGGTGGAATTTCTGCTTTTGACAGCTATCACAGTTCAATCTGAATTTTGATAACTATTGCGAGTCAAAATAAAGCAAATACATGACTGACATGAATTGTATTTTTTTTTTTTAAAGAAGGGTTAAATGATAAGAAAGGTAGTTTAGGCAATGACTTGATTGAGACATGCATTGTGCAAACTGTTGCAACACAGCACAGGAAGTTAAGTAAACACCTTTGTAAATGAATATTTAACAGGCACAATTTCACAGAAATGGCCAAGATTGCAACTTATTTTTCTGATCTGTGGAGGTTTTATATTTGAAAAACATAATACATACATTATGTGAATATGCATTAGAGTAGATGATGAGCAGGTTTGCATGGCAGTGTCAGTCCTTTTGTTGCACTTTCAATAACAAATGTTATACAAATGTAAATATAGCCTATACCATTTCCTTTCCATAGTATAAATGTCTCTGATATGTCTGTACTCTTTACTTCTGTAGCAGGAGTATTTGTTAGTATTGTTTCCTCCAGCATGCAGTCAGAATAACAAAGAGTTTACATTGTGCAATCTGGTGTTCAAGGACTACAATTTTCAGATTACTCTAACATAAATGAGTTACTCAATGTGCTTTTAGAGAATGGACAATGATCTGAATCATAAACAGGCATATTTTCAGACCCTCAAATGATTAGAATCCGACTCCACAGACATACTGTTTTTATCTGATTTCATTCAGGCAAAACTACATGGACAAAAAGACAGACAAAAATAAACTTTGGATACTAGAGGCCCTGGACAGTACTTGAACAATAGCTCAGTAGCATTACAGTAGTCGACACTGGCACACAGGACCAGATGATGCTGTCAGATCTTTTGTTCACTTGTGTTATAATTGGAGGGAGCGTGTCAATGCATCCAGTTACTCTGAGCCTGCGCAGTGCCTTATTCCAAACAGGACAAGGTCAGGAATCCAGGCGTTAATGTCATACTATCTATTTTTAAAACATCTCCAAACACCGTTCAGCTTTCTTGGTACACCGAGTTCATACCGACATATAGCGATAACCCGAGAGACGTCAAGATAACGATAGACAAATGATTCGCTTGGTGATGCAGCAGGACCCTGCCAAGCTAGTTAATGTCCAGTCTGTGGCTGGCTTCCAAACTCCGTTAAAAAACAGGCCATTTAATGTTACACCGTTTACTAACACACCCTTATTCCCCGCATAACATATTGCAAAGCCTTAGTGATACTGTTACTAACCACTTAACAATTCGGCATATGTCAAATTAACCAAAGGCTCTTTGTTTTAATAAGGAAACATCATTTAGTACTGGTTAATTTGACACTTCATACAGTCGGCCCCAACTAGAATGCACTGTGGTGGGCGGTGCCGTCAGCTTGACATTCTAATGAAGAAAGTAATGCAGGTCTGGTCATATAGATTTCAAACTTGAGAATGGCAAAAGGGAATACATATATAATGTACTCATACGGTAAAATTAGATACCTTCGTTATTTCGCAGTCTAACGTTGAACACGTAGATTAAAGGACTGTATTTTGAATGGTTAAGAAGAGTCGTCTCAAAACAACCTAGCGTGTAGCGTTATGTTCCCATATACGGAAGTTTAATTACGAAACGCAACGTGAAAAACGGTAAATATAGAGTTTAGGTTATAACAGTTAGCTTAACTTACGTCAGCTAGCTAACGTAACTTAGCCAGCAGTCTACCCACTGGCTGGGAAAACTCTTGGAAGCGTGATAATATCCACTGTATTACACGACAATGCAAAAACATGTTTGGAAATGATTTCCCACTCACCTGTCAGGTGTGTCTTTTGTTAGAGAGTCACAGCAACAGGAGCATGCGCAGGAGAGGAGAGACCTCTAGTCTGTTCTCCTGGTGGATAGGCACTGATCTGAGGGAGTTTGGTCTGCAGGCCGGGGCGCGTCTATCGTTATTCCAACCCAATTTAGATTGAACCACTCCCACTTCCGCATTACGCAAGGACGTAGCTTTAGCGTCATAGACACGGCACATCCGCGAAATCTGAATCTGACAAGCAAAATACTGTCCTTATAAACGATAGACGCAGCCGGGGCACTGACCTGAGGGGGCGTGGTCTGCAGGCCGGGGCACTCATATATATTTTAAATTGTAGTATTATAATTATGAATGCATTAATCATTTCATCACTTCAATGTTTCTCTTGGCAAAAGTGGGGTTTATTACTTTATAAACTATTGGGTAGCTTAACCTATTATAATACGTGATAATAAATAACATTTTGTATTAATAATCTAAATCTGCAAAATTACTAGTAACTTAATCTGTAAAATAAATGTAAGGGAGTATAAAGTTAAACATTTTCCTATAATGTATTTGGTATACTGTACCATAACGTGAAAATACTCAAGTACAAGTACCTCCATTTTTAACTGAAGTACAGTGCTTGAGTAAATGTACTTATAGTTACATTCCAACACTGGTCATATTGTACCGTTTGTCCTGAGGGATTTGGGAATTGGGTGCCTTGCTCATGGGTAACTTCAGTGAATGTCTTAATATACATTTAAGTACTTGCATTTTTTTATGAAATCCCCCCAGAACCCCAGTTACACAGCTTTTATAAATATTTCTGATACGTTATGTTGAGGAATGCTTAGTAAATTGACAGAATCAAGTTTTTCTTGCCATGAATTTTCACAACCTTTTTAAAGGGCAAAAAGGTGATCTATTTGTCAAATATTTGTACTCAATGTACTCTGCTGGATTGCAACAGTAGTGTGTAATACTGGCAACATAAATGAAATTGCATATAATGCGTTGTCAGCAACAGGTAATGATTTTAATGGGGTATTGCTGCCAAATACTCATTCTATTGCCTAACCTCTGTTGCGCAATGCCAGTCTTTACCAGACAAACACACATCACGTACACACACTGAACAGACGGTTACATAAGGTGGCCCTGCAGTGCAGTCATTGTGCAGTCGGAGAGCCCCCTGTCCTACACCAGGCTGCAGCACAGTGCAGGTTACATCATCTGTGAACATGGAGAAAGAAAATCTTTGTAATCTCAAATCACATGGGAATTACCTCTGAGTTCTTTAATCAGATTTATGTAACTGATTTTGTCAGCATTCCTAAGCTGATATTGCAATGTTTGAGCATCTCTTCTGTTTGTGTTAATACATGCACCGTACCTTTCTACATCACGTCCAACCATCCAAGCCAAGCTTTGTTCATTAAGATTTAAGAGATACATTTGATCAGTGGCCTACCTACATTTTTAGACATTAGTCACATATCTGTCATTTCACTGTGATGAACCAACAAATGAATGTATGAAATTCTGTTCATTCAGAAAAAAATGTATAAGGTGTTTTTTATTGAGTTGAAAAGCTACAGAAAAAGCATTTCGAGCATCATTGGGAACTAAGAATAATAAAATGAAATAGAACAGAAAGTATTGGTTGGTAATATACAGTACATGACGCCTTATTAAGCAAATATTGGGCAAAAATTGATTGCTTATACAATAAGAAGATCTATAGTCAATACAAGTTTGGGGCAACTAGATTTGATTTGTTTTGTGTTCAGCTGTAACTTGAAAAATAGGAAGAATTAATTTATATGAACATTATAAATGATCACCTTTGACACACATTTCGTTTCTCAATCAATGCACTTTTTGGATAATTGAAGAGTTTATCGACAGCCACTAGAGGGTAGTGTCACTGCTGTCGCTGCCCAGTTATGCCGTGCTCTGACCCGGTAGTGCTGAGCGGCCATTTTAGTTCAAACATTGTTCATTCACTCCGCCTCGAGTTGAGACGTTTGTCCACTCATTCATGTAAGACTGTTTCCACTATTATATTATACTATATATTATACTATATATATATTATACTATTATACTACTATACTCTGTGTCGTGGTATATATTTGTGTTGATTAATTGCATGGATGTAATACT